TTGCTAGGGGAAAAACGTAAGTAGGAAAGGATTAAATGAATGTCAGGAATATCACCATTACTTTTTCATTTGGCAGATGGGAGTTCTGTAACTGTTCACATCCAGTATTCAGTCAGCAATGTTGTGATTTGGGAAGGACCACCCTGGTAGCCATTTTGTGAAAGCAAGAACAACATATCCTTAAGGTTAGAAAGGCATCCCCTTATCCAAAAAGATGGGAAATGGGTTGAAGGCTGTTTGTTGTTGGGAGAAGTGCAGAAATAAGCAAAAGAGAGAGGGCCGAATGAAGCAAAGAATCCATCCCTGGAAGAAGGAGGAAGCAGGTAGGCCAGAGGTAAAGCCATTGAATTGATGTGGTGGGCCTGAGTGCAGATTGGGACTGGCTTTAGCTGCTTTAAAATTTAAACTTTCATATATGCAGCAACCCTCTAATTTTTCCCAAAGCCCTCTTGATTTACGCCCTAAAATCATTTGTTTCTTTTTTTCCAGTTCCTTAAAAGGTATATAATCCAAGTAACCAATAATTGACCATTAAAAGGTATATAATCTAAGTAACCAATAATTGACCATGAAATATTTGGATGTAAGGCAATTGAATTCCTGGAGAAAATTCAAACACATTGAAAGAGATGGGGGAAGAGGGAAATTCATATTGAAGTTGTTTTACTGTTTAGTGCCCTGTGACTGTTCTTCTTTCTACTGAATATTTTTAGTATTTTGATTACTTTGTTCTACAAGTAGTCCCCGACCTACGACTACAGTTGAGTCCAAAATCTATATTGCTAAGCAAAACATGTGTTAAGTGAATTTTGCCCCATTTTATGATCTTTCTTGCCACAGCTGTTAAGTGAATCACTGCAGATGTTAAGTTATTAACATGGTTGTTAAATGAATTTGGCTTCACCATTGACTTTACTTGTCAGATGGTCACATAAAGGGATCTCATATCCCTGAGACACTGCAATCGTCATAAATATGGACCAGGTGCCAAGCATCTGAATTTTGATCATGTGACCATGGGGATATCGCAATGGCTCTAAGTGTGAAAATGACCATAAGTCACTTTTTTCAGTGCTGTTGTAATTTTGAACAGTCACTAAATGAACTGTTGTAAATGTACTTTAAGAATCTCAATCAATACAATGCATAAAATAAGCAAGGAGACATTTGTAAAAAATAGAACTTAGTACTATTTTTCTTTTAAACCAACTGCATAAAATGAGTGAGTACTATCAACCAACAAGGCTTTTGGGGATATGTTGAGCCTAGACATTTTATTTGCAGTGCCTGAATTGATTGAGGTAACCCAAATGTCTACCTTTGTTGATCTTCATTTCAGTAGCCCTATTTCAGTGGAAAATCTTATTTGGGATCAAGGAAGGGAGGAAACACAAAAGAGAAGAAAGGCAAAAGCTATATATATTACTCCCCAAACTATTGCATCTCAACCAAAAATCTGCTTCTAAATTGTGTTCTGCATTCTGTTTACCTTTGCATTAAAAACTGTATCTTTCAATAGGTGTTTAAGTGAAACACTGTTGAGTAAATTTCACCGCATAGACAGCCACAAAAGAAAGTTTAAATACCTGGCAGTTTTAGAAATGAAACAAATGTAGTAAGACTAAATTTGGGAATAATTCTCAGCAATGTTGGTTCATGATGAGACAGTTGGCTCAGCAAGAGAAGTTGGGTCCCCTCCCCATACCCAGCCAAAAAAGTTTTTTCTTTGATTAGTTTTTTTCTTGGTTGTTGCTAGAGCCATAATGAAGTTTTTTGTCAGTTTGAATTGCAGCTAAATGGGAAACAGTCCCAAGAAAACATGGGTATGAAAACTGCATCCTCTTGAACAAACAGATTGAAAAAAGCACTTATGTAGATAAAGGCTGAACAGAATATACTTGTAACATGAAATGAGAGGAATAAAGAATATAGCCTTGAATGCAATTGCTACTTCAGGACTTAATCTTCAAATCAATCCATCTACTCGCTGGCAATGAAATTATATCCTTAACTGTAATTCTTTATTATGCTTCTTCTTATGTGATAATTCCAAAATAATCAATACGATAGCAATAACCACTTTGTTTTCCTATTGTTATAAATCATTGTTCCTCCATAAGAATTCCCACAGTGGTTCACATGATAATAATTGAAAAATCAAACAATTCAAGTTTCAGGGTTGAAATGAGGGGTCCTTGGTGTTCTCAAAGCCTGGTTGTTTTCTTCCAGATGTTTCATTACACAAAGTAGGGAATATCATCAGTGCAATTCAAGTCTCAACTCTAGTCTACAAATTCAGAAATAGAAGTCATATTTCTCTAGAGTTTTGAGTCCTGTATGCAATGTAATTTGGAAAAAAAAAACCTCATTGAAATTGTAGATATTTCATAGCAGACGTACTTTCCACTAAGAATAGCACTGTCAGCAGGGTTGAGCAGAGAATTTTTTTGAACCAATTCAAGTTTTGAGGGTCTTTTATGAGTCACACCCAGATAAAATACAGTGGTAATTGCTATAGTCACTTTTCCTCCACTAACAAGCACAATTGGTGAATCAACTACTGCTGATGAAACAATACTCAGAACTCTATCCATATTTAATCTATGGCTCTGCCTTTGTAGCTAATTGGATTTTTAATGGGCACAATGATTCATAAAGACTAGAGATTTACTCAATTATATAAATGGAGAAAACTTTTAGTTTTAAACATTAACATCTATAATTCCTTGCTTTTAGCCAAAATGTTGGATGTGTTGAAGTCCAAAATATTAGGAGAGCACTACTGACCTAGATATTTTATGTAAATATTAAAGAACTTCCACTACTAACTACTACTACTACTACTACTACTACTACTACTACTACTACTACTACTACTACTCTGTTTTCCTGAAAATAACACATCTCTGGATAATAAGCCCAATTGGGCTTTTGAGCGCATAAGACCCCCCTTGTAAATAAGCCTACCCCAAAAATATTTAAACACATGTGCAGCTGGTTCCACCATTTTCTCTGGTTGTGCCTTGTGCCACACTCCTTACCTACCTCCATTTACTCCTGCAGCTGAGCAGTGCTTTGATTGAAAAGCATCCAGCTGACGAGCAGCAGCACAACACAGCAGCAGCCATGAGATGACCACGCTCGCTGCCTCCTGTACCTTAAAAATAATAAGACCTCCTCAAAAATAAGGCCCTGTGCAAGACCTTGTCATATTTTCAGGGAAACACTGTACTACTACTACTACCACCACCACCAGGAAATATTGCAAGATGTTTTTCATATAAGAAGGAAAATGTTATACACTTCTATATAAAACTTTTCACAGACTCCGGTGATAATTCTGAAGAAAATCTTCTTGAAAGATGAAAGAGAATTATCACATTCATTTATGCTACCACAGAAGGAACTATTTCACCAGAGAGATCTCTGTCACAGAGCAAGTTCTAAATTCAGTATTAAATGGATATAAGCAACTTTATAACCCAATAAATGCCTGGAAGTGACCTGCCAAAGGAGCACAACTAAAGCTGATATTTAATTATTGATATTTAAATCTGCTTCCATAATCAATTGATTTATAATTAGCTACCTAATTAATAAATGAAACATTTTTTTCTTTTTCACATTCCCTATTTTGCTAACTTTGATATCATCTAAGATGTACAAGGATCAAACAACCATACTGAGCATGAACTTCTCTACACAGCTAATATATCTTTCAAGTGGGAAGTTTTCTGGCACAATTAGAATGATTTTCAACTCAGAATAGCTATGAGTGACATAGATTCATTCTGCACAAATTGACTATGATATAACCCTTATAATTCATACTGTCCTCATAATACAAGAGACTACTTACTACATAGAGTAATTGTACTAAATGTCAAAAGAAATATCAAATTTCCCACCCTGGATGTTCACTCTCAACTCTATCCCTTTGATTAGTCTCCTACACTTTGTTAACTCTATGTCTTTAATTTAAAAGACTATTTGAAATTCTTATAGAATCTATCTTCTCCCCCTCTCCCCACAGTTTTGGTTATGTTTATTTATTTATTTAGGAAATGGATTTGCCTCCCATCTCATATCCAATGATTCTGGGTGGCTTACAGCATAAAATATTAAATCAGAAAATACATTAAAATCAACAGTCATGGCAAGCAGTAGATAAGGTCATTAAAAATTACAAACCATCAAAACCAGTTGGGAAAAGTGGAAGCTAGACACACATGTTGTTGGGAGATGGGATGAGGATTTAATTCATTAACCACTCCAGTATGAAGTTCTCCCATTGGGTTTAGAGAGCCAGGTCTAGAGGCTATTTCAAAACATCAGAAGGATGAGAGCCAATCTCACCTCTGGAGATAAGATGCTTCAGAGGGCAGGAGCCAATATTTATTTTTATGAATCCAGAACTTGCATTTTATGTACATCCCATTGGGACTGTTACAAATTTCATAGCTCTGAATTGATTGTTTGATCGATTGATCCGTCCATTAGACAGGTGTATCTGTACAAATACCATAACCTCTGGTGCATTTAATATGAAGACAGTAGTTCTTTTTGTGCTACCCATCAATTACACCACTGTCCTCCATGTGTGCTATTTTCTTTGTACCACTATGGCACAGAGTAGACTTGGTAAGTTTTTCTTATTTTTCAGCAGTATAGAGAAGTAAACTACTTCCACCATATAGTCCATTGAGAATGAATTTGAAAATTCTTAACAAAGGTCAGCAGGGCAGATCTGTTTAACAGTGCTTTGGGAAATCTCAGGATTGTTGAACCAGTTCCGCGTTGTTGCCAAGAAAACTATATCAAAATGTCTATGAATTTGAAAACACTTGGCCCTCCAGCCTATTGATCTTGCCATCAGAGATATAAGGGGTTCTGTAATCAGGCAATGCTGAGACTCAGGGTTAACACTACAGATGGTTGTGGGAATATTATTTATTTGCTTTAATTACATTTCCAATGATATCAATTTTTTATTATTGCAGGTGATTATATAGTCATGACTATATACTTCGAGTTAAGTAGAAGAATGGGATACTTCACTATTCAAACATATATTCCCTGTATATTAACTGTTGTCCTATCCTGGGTATCATTTTGGATTAAGAAAGATGCTACACCAGCAAGAACAGCCCTAGGTAAGATAACGGGGTTTACATATTTTATTCATTCCTCAGCCTGCTGAGGATCCTTTCTAATGTATCTCCAATGAATAATTGTTTTATTTCACTTGATAATCATGCTAACAAATGTTTATACTTTGCAAGAATTCCCCTATTCATGGTTCCCAGCCCCTGGTTGCAGAAGTATTTGAAAGATTAATTCTCATGTCATTTTCCTGGCGTTCTACTATTAATCTCTCAGTTTTTGCATCTTCTTAGCTTTCCTTCCACTGTTGTTGATCACTCTACAGTATCCAAAGTGATATGTGCTAAACTTCTCCTTAGCCCCATCTCCCCAAATTTAGCATGAAATGTCTATGGAGATTCTCAGTCATCCATGTCATGGTTGTCCCAAAGATGCTTTTTCAAAAGGTTGGAAAGCTGGGCTTTCTTTGTTTTTGCTTGAAGACATGTGTTCATCACAACTTTACTTCAGGTTGGATGCTGAACAGAAGATTATGGGGTGGAAAAGAACAGTGTTTTTAAATATATATTATTTGTGCAATCATAATATTAGGTTAAATACATAGGTTCTTATAAAGGGTATGAACACCATTGTTCATCAATAATTTAACTAGACAACCAGTCAGGTTTTTTTTACTCCTTTTCTTGTTTTTAAGAATCCTAACCTAACCCTGATCTCAATTCTTTTCTCTAGCAGTCAGCATTTCATGATCATTATATAGTGTTTTCCCCAACTTTTGTAGGACCCTAACCCTTTAAAAGTTTTGGTACTTCTAAAACAAATTTGGCTTCTCCAAGCTCACTGGAAACTTCCTACTGTGATCCTAGTTCCTGGCATACCTAACATGTTAAATGTTTTTTAAAAATATCCCTTACCCTATTGATCAGAATTCTGTGGACTAATAGAGAATATTTCTCAGTTTTCAATGTTCTTTCTGTTATGGGAGTATTCTTAAAAAGTGACTAGAGTTCTATTAGAGATCAGTTTATCAAACAGCCTCTTTTACACAAGGAGTTATTAATTCTCAATAAACACTTATCTGAATATATCTAGACAGAAAGAGATTTACACCAATGCTTATATATTGTATTTTCCGAGACTATTTTTCGATATAGAAAAACGTGGCCTACTGGGGCATGCAATGAGAATATCTATGACCCTTTTTCCACCCCCTAAATAATTTGATTCTTGTTGTGACTCTTTTGAGTAGCAATATTCTTAAACAATTTGTTTTTTGACAGCTATGAACACATTCATCTTCATCTGCCTTGAATTTCCATGTTTAGCATCAAATGCTTTGGTCAACAGGGCATGGACTGTATAGGATAGTCATGAAACTTAGTAGTTTTCAAATGTATTAGCAGCTAAACAAATCTGCAACATTACCTTCCATGCACTGCATGACAAGATTGTGATAACTGGAGTAAGTGGCTACCTGATGTTCCAAATATTTGCTTCCTGCTAGCTAATGTTCTTTTTCTGTAATTTTACTACTTATAGCTTTTTTCCACTGAAGCAAACCTTCTTACCCACTAATATGAACCAGACCCAATGTGTTTTCATCATATGTAAGCTTCCTTTGACAATCTCACAATCTCCTAAGAGAAGGCAAGGGATTTTATAAAGGAAAAGTGAAGAAACAATATGTGTACTGCAAATGTGCATATGTTGCTTCACAGCAGATCACCGACTTAAAACTATCTTCTTCCTGCACTTCCTACTCAGTAATACTCTTCAAAGATCTCACCTACTGTTTCAAAACTTAAAGGCTCTCACTGAGTGAAACTAAATTGGAGGTCATTGACTTATTTCCAATAAAATAATAATAACTTGTTTGAGATTCAGAGTTCTCTACATGAGCTAAACATGGCTCTCCTCTGGCTGACTCGGAGAAATGGAAAAGTCTTTACAATATGCACTATGGAAAAGCAATTTCCTCCTTGTGATTTTATATATTTCAGGTATAAGCTTACAAACATAAGATATACATTGCTGTGAAAGCAATGTTCTCAAGAGCTGAGCAAAATCTTCTTATATGAAATTTCTCACAACCCTGTGCCTAGTTCCAGGCAAATCTTTGTGTTATTTTCAAATTCTACCTACTTTCTACCATGTTGGTTTTGGACCCACCAAAGGATTGCCAGTGATGTGGATCTGCATAATGGTTGCATGGGAAAGAAGTCAAATCAGCAGACTTGCAATCTGGGAGTCCTGGACTCCTGGTTCTTGCTCCAAGTGTAGTTAAATACCATGGCAAGGAAAGCTTTTGCCTAGTTGCACCTTCTGTGTCAGTTGCAATTTTACCTGGAACACAGTACACTGAAGGCAGCCATCCAGACCCTTAGCATCTTTTTTTGAGTAATTAGATTACTCTAACTTGCTATACATGGGCTATCACTGAAGATTATGTGGAAATTTTAACTGGTCCAGAATGCAGTAATGCATGTGTTTAGTCGCTTTGTCATATTTTTATCATGCTTCTTTGCTGCATCAGATTATTTAAAAGTTTCAGCATGCAAGTCAAGTTACTGATTGCTATCTATGACATTCTATGCAGCTCAGAGCCTAGATATTTTAGAGACTGCCTTTCCCCATTAGTTTCTGGCCATCCTACTGGATAATTAGGGAGTGTCCACTAAGGATTTCTATCTCTGTCAAATATACCTGCCACTCTTTCGGAAAGACTTGTTCCCTTAAAATATACATATTACCCACCCATGTAGTGTTCCCAAACCACCATAATTTATAGTTCTTCCAGAGACTAATTTGGAGACTAGTTATAACTAACAAGACCATACTGAATTACTTTAGTTTATAATTTGTACTATTGAGTTGCAAAATTAAGTTGGTTATGGATGTTATGATTTTAAGAAATCACAATAGGTTTCAGGCAATAAACAAATTACATTAATATAGAAATACAGAAATGATGCATAGATGTAAGAATTTTGCTGTAAAACACTATCCTTTACTCTCCTGTGTAGAGTCATTGACTCACCTTGTTTGTTCCACATAGCTGCAGTGGGAGGGGGGGATATTTCAACAGAAATAGTAAAATAATGCCTGATTCCAAATATATTTCAAGAGACATTTGTCTGCAATTTAGCATGCTGATGAAAATAACCTTAATATTACTTAGTGAATTACTTGTGAAAGTTAATTAGTTATTTAACTAGAATGAATAGGGAAATTTACTGGCCCAAAAAAAGTTCTGGATTTCACTCTCTCTTAATTCAGTTATGATCCATTGCTGTAAAATTTAATGCATCTGATGATATTAATTTTAAAAATGCTGGGAACGTGCTCCAATTGTATGAATTAAAGATTTCATCCACTTTAGCAAACTCTTAATTTGCAATACAGGGTATGGTGTAATAAAGAATGCACAGGGGAAAAAATAATGAGCAGAGAACAGAGATGTCAAATAATTTATTGAAGTGTATACTGCAGTTCCTGAAGCTTCCAAAAAAATATTTTCTTTCATTTGCTTCCTTGATAAGTTTTTCAAATGTTAAGAGTTCAGCCACCGAAAAGTACAGGTAGTCCCAGTGGTAGGTTCCTACGGTTCGGCACGGTTCAGCCGAACTGGTAGTGGTTTGGCAGCCTGTTTTCATTGGAACTGGCAGCAACCCAGGCCTGCCATGCTCCCAAACCAGTTCTCCAGGTAGCATCATAGGCACCGCTATCTTGTTTTTTGTTTCTTTACATGCTCAGAGCAATTTTTATTACATTGCAGACGTACACACAGCATGCATCAAGCGCACGCAGAATGCCAATGAGCGAACAAGCAGTAGTGACTGCCGGAACCCAATCCTGGGTAGTCCTCAACTTACAACCATTTGTTTAGTGATCATTCAAAGTTACAACTGCACTGGAAAAAGTGACTTAGGACCCTTTTTCACACTTATGACCATTGCAGCATTTCATGGTCACGTGATCAAAATTTGGGCTCTTAGTAATCGCCATGTATTTATGAAGTTGCAGTGTCTGGGAGTCACAATTTGAAACTTTCCCAGCTAGCTTCTGACAAGCAAAGTCAGTGGAGGAAGCCAGATTCACTTAACAGCCACATAATCCACCTAACCCTTAACAGGTATGGCAAAAAAGTTCATAAAAAGAGACACAATTCACTTAACAATTGTCTTGCTTAGCAATGGAAATTTTGGGTTCAATTGCGGTCAAAAATAAAATACTACGTGTATACTATATTCTATATGTCTATTTTTTTCTTTCCAGATTTTTCCCCACTCATTCATTTCCGTTTTTTTTTTTTAATTGCAACAATCAGTTCAATGAGGGTGGTGGTGGTGTTGATGAATCCATCCATTTCCATTAAGGTGCAATGATATAACTAACTCTTTTGGCATGGAGGGATTGCAGATTTCTGTCTATATTATTGAAGCATCTCAATTCTTGTGAGCTTACCAATAATATTTCTAAATGTAGCTATACAGCAGTTTAAAATTCAGATGATGTCTTTTAAAACCAAATATGAAATTGGGTGGTGATTTATGAATATTTTTTCTATATCAAGTGTGATCTTATGAAATATGCTGTGATGGGATTTGATAACATTTAAAGATCTTCATAATAGTTGAAGAATATAAAATATGAAAGACAGTATAATGCAAAAATGCTCATTATCCAAGAGATATCATCAGGAACAGAAATTCCAAAAGATCTAATTCCTTAAGGAATCCAGGTTACAGTCTAACAAAACTCATACTCTAATAAAGTAAGGTTTTGTTCTAAAAATTGACGATAGCTGCATTTCTGGAAATATTACAAGAAAATTATGTTTTGTTGTCCAGGTATCACCACAGTATTAACCATGACAACGCTGAGCACCATTGCAAGAAATTCCTTGCCGCGTGTTTCCTATGTCACTGCAATGGACCTTTTTGTGACCGTATGCTTCTTATTTGTCTTTGCCGCTTTGATGGAGTATGCAACCCTGAACTACTACTCAAGTTGCAGGAAGCCACACTGTACAAAAAAGAAAAAGTCGGTAAGATAAAATCCTATTGAAAATGCAGCACAATTCTTCTGCATTATCACAGAGATTAGTAATTAATTGGATTTAGACCTTAAACAAACACTTTGGCTAATGCCGTCTAATAAGAGGAATATATTGTAAGTGTTCTTTGTACTAGAAATGCACAGAATTTCACATTTATTTTATTCTATTTCATTTTATCCCAACTGAAAGTGATATTCATGAGATGTGGAGCTGTATAAATATGATTCATTGATAAATACCTCTAGTATTTTAGTGTACTATACAGGAATTCAGGGATCTGTATATCTAATGTAAAATGACCATGCCTTATGAAATATTGAATTAATTATAACAAATTCATAAATTATAATAATGACAGTGGATCATCAGAGTAACAAGGGTCTGGTCTTAAAGGTAGTAACTGTTCAGTTTAGTCATGCTTCTACTGACAACCTTGCATTTAAATTCTACAATGATTTTATTCAATCTTAAGCCCAACTGCTAGAAACAATTGCATTATTTTGAAGTTAGTTTCTTGCAAAACTTTAATCTGTAAATAATACTAACATTGACCATGAGACTCAACAATGGGTTGATGCCATATTATCAATCAATGGGTTTTTTAAAAATATATTTTTATTATTTTTACATTTAAAACAATGCAGTACCGTGAAGTCAAAGCGACCATACATTCACTTCCTTAAAAAAAAACCTTTTTCTAATTTAATGAGAATATTCTGAAATAGGAAAAGAAATTTTGGTAGTACATTTATTTTTATGACTGCGATCCTACCAATCAGGGACAATTGTAAGTTTTTCCACATTTTAAAGTCTGTCTTAGTTTTATTGATCAGATTAGTATAGTTGTCTTCTTTGATGGACACACACCTCGCAGATAAATGTATACCTAGATATTTGACTTTTTTGACAATTTGGATACCCAATTTCTTCGTTAACTCCTCTTTCAATTTGGATGTCATATTTTTAACCAGCATTTTAGTCTTTGTCATATTTATCTTTAAACCCGCTACTTTCCCATACTCTGTCAATTCCTCAAAAAGTTTCATACCAGACTTTATAGGATCCTCTAACATGAAAACTAGATCGTCCGCAAAAGCCTGTAACTTAAATTGTTCCTTTTTTACTTTCTAGTCCCTTTATCTGTTCCTCTTTAGGTACATTCCTAGCTAGAACTTCTAAGG